CCGGTTCAGTGCCCGAACCGGGGGGTCCGGGCTCGGTGCTTGGTTTTGGCGACCCGGCCCGGGTGCTGGCCTAACGGCCTTATTTTAAAAAAATCCTATGAATTTGTAAAGAGCCGTTTGGCTCTTGATCCACACCCCAAACGGCTATATAGCCGTTGGGTGGGTACCAAGGGGTCCGGGGCTTTGGTGGGGGGTTAAAAAAACCTATAAATACTCCTAATTTTAAACATTTTTTCACACATCTTCTCCACCTCTTCCTAAATCCTACTCTCTACTCTCTACTCATCTCCATATTCATCTTCTCAAATTCTCTTATTCTCCATTATATTTTATTTTACTCTTTAATACTTATACAATTATTATATCTACTTATATATTAATTATCTACTTATAAATACATATACTATATTACTTATATTTCTTATCTACTTAATCTCTACTTATATCTACTTAATACATACATTCAACGTCTACTTAATATATACTTTATATATTAAAGTATTAAATATAAGTGTATTACTCATCTTATAATAGTATACTTATATATTATATACTTTAAACAATATATTATATATTAGTTACACTTTAATTAATATTAGTTAAAATCATTCTATTACTCATTTACTCCCATTAATTAGTATACACATTCATACATTTGTCTTATTACTTACATTTTGTATTAACATTACTTGATTAGTTAATTAGTATTCCCATTAATTGCTAAAACAACTCTACTTTAAAAAACTAGTTAATTGTCATTATAGTTAAAGTCACATTATAATAGTTTGAATTTATATTTGAACGAAAAAAGAGTAGTTCAATAATTTAATTAAAGTACTTAACATTTTATTGAAGTAATTTTCACTAAATCAAAGTACTTGAAAAGTTGCTATAATTTAATTACTCACATTTTAGTTAAAGTCACACTTGTTAGTTTTAAGTATTTATTAAAAAAATACTATTGATTAGTTCGAATTTCAATTTTTATTTTAGAGTCACACTTTAATTCATTACTTAATTAAAGTACTTCACATTTTATTAAAGTAGTTTTCACTAAATTAGTTTGAAGTATTAATTAAAATAGTTTTAATTAGTTGCATTATTTTTGTATTCATTATTATATTTGTTGCAAATTAATTTTTGTTACATTTTTAAGATGGAAGGTGGTAGACATTCGGTTGATATGGGTAACTTCGAGCGCAACCGAAGGAATGAGATTGGGAGGAAGAAATCCCGCAAAGGTAAAGAACTTGCCGGCTCTTCATCTCAAAGCCGAGATGATTTTGAAACGGGTTACCAAAGGAGGGATAGAGATGCGATGTCCGAAGAACAACTACAACAAGAATTGGCCCGACATAATAACCGCTTTCTCCAACAAGAACAAATGCCGACGACCATTGACGAAGATGAGCTCAAGGATGATGATGTGGATGAACTTGAACCGGAGACAGGCGACGGTGACGGCAACCACGACGAGGCGGACGAGCCCACCTCATCCCAACCCGGTAAGAAAAAAAGTAAATCTGAACTAATGCAAAATAATTTTGATAAGTGGAAGGACGCACACACCGGGTTTTGGCACGCAACTTGCAAGTGGTGCAACAAAAATTATATCCTGGGGACCTCCGGCGGATATGGATCCGCCGCAAGACATCTTAAGGCAAAAGCACCCCGTGGAGTATGCAAAATTACGCGGCGGAACGGGGAAGCAAACTCAAATATCGAGGTTTGCGAATTCTCAACCTTTTGGTAATTTCTCATACAATGATGCACAAAATTTGACTGGTATGGCTAGCTTAATTTGTGAAGAAAATTTGCCTTGTATATTTTCTGAAAGTCTTGCTTTAAGAGATTATGCATGTGGTAGTTTAAATCCTCAATTTAGAGGTTATAGTCGCAAAACTGTTAAGAAAGAAATTATAAGGCTTTATGGTGCGGAAAAGGCAAGGTCACAAATTTTTTTTGCAAACTTTGATGGGCGTGTTACTATTTGTTCTGACATACGGGAGGATGATTTTCATCATTTAAATTATTTGGGTCTGACTGCACATTATATTGATGAGGATTGGAATATGCATAAACGTGTTCTTGCTTTTCGTGAATTTAATGACCGTCACATCGCTGAACATATTTATATTTTGATTGAGCGTATTTTAATTGAGTATAATTTGATTGATAATGTGTTTGCTATTGGTTTCGATAATACTACTAATAATACTGCTGCTATACCTAGATTGTGTGAATTTTGTGGTGCCAATAGTTTGATGGGTAGATTTTTTCATCAACACTGTGCATGTCATGTTATAAATTTATGTGTGCATGACAGCCTAAAAAGCGTTAGGAGATGCTATATGGAGGTAGTCGGGGGGGGGGGGGGGGGGGTAGACGTATTTGGAGTAATGGTCAACTTAGATTAAAATGACAAACTTATTTGATTGAAAGAGGTGTAAGATATGTTGCTTTTCCTAAAGATTTGAGAACTCGTTGGAATAGTACTTATAAATTACCTAAAGTTGTTCTTAGATATAAAGAACATTTTCCTGCTTTTTCAAAACAACATGATAACTATATTATAAACTCGGCTTAGATCGACACTTGCGAAAAAATTTGTAATGTTTTGATATATATTTTTAATGCAACTCAAACTTTTAGTCATGTTTATAAACCTACCGCAAACCAATTTATTCGTGAAGTTGTTAATCTCACCGGTGCTTTTAAAGAATTTGAGAATGTCGTTTGCGTGAGTTATTTTTGTGATTATATGAAGGAAAAGTTTTTAAAATATTATGCACATATTCCGCATATTTAAGGTATTGCATTTATTCTCGATCCTCGTTTGAGACTAGCTAATTTGGAAGATTGTTTCAATGTATGACGATAACCCCGTAGATCCGAAAACGGAATACAACGAGGTTAGTGCTTTATTTTATGCCTTATTTAATGAGTTTCATGCACAATATGGCAACGCGCCCCCTCCCCCGACACGAACATCTTCATCTAAAGGAAAATCAATTTTTAAATCTGCATTTGGCAATCTTATGAAAAGAACTAAAACAACTCACGCTACTGAACATAGCGCATTAAATGAGATTACTTTGTATATAACATATGAAGTTGAATTTGAAGAAAATGATGACTTTGACGTTCTAAACTGCTGGAAGTCAAAAGAAAGAACGTTCCCGATTTTAGCACGGATGGCTAAGCACGTGCTATCAATGCCGGTTTCAACAGTTGCCGTGGAATAAGAATTTAGTTCGGCCGGCAACGTCCTAACGGCATCTAGAACGGGATTGAGCCCAAACTCTCGTGAGACGCTTATATGCTACCACGATTGGTTGAAGGCCGCACGTAGAACTCAAGAAATGAGCATCACCCTCTCCCAAGACTTTATGGATGACTCAACAACCGATGGTGGCTCTACCTATGCCGGAGATTCCGATTGATTAGTATTTTAGAATTTATTATAAAATGTATTTCATGTTTTAATCTTTCCCTCAATTCTCAATTGTAATTTGTAAACTTGTACTTCATATTTCAAATAAATATGCATTCAGTTTTTCATATGTAGCACTTCTCTAATTAATTAATTGGTTACAAAATTACAACTTACAATTAATTTTCTAAAGGTTGTTTTTAAATTAAAAATAGCTTTACAATATGTAATTTGTTTAAATACACCTTATACACATATACACCTATTTTGTAACATTTGTAATTTATAAATCAAACCAATTTTCTAAGTAAAAATAGATTTACTTAATTCATTAAATTAATTAACTTATTTTACAATAGGTATAATTTTCAAATAAAAAAAATTAAAAAAAAAAATTAAAAAAAAATTATAAACAAAAAAGCTCCCAAACGGCTATATAGCCGTTGGGGCTTTGGGTGGGGGGCAGGGGGTCCCGGGGGGTGGTGGTGTGGCCAACTCTTCTCCATCTTCAAAAAATTCTATAAATACATCTATTTTCTAGCATTTTTCTACATCTCCTCTCCAACTCTTCTCCATCTTCATCTTCTCTTATTATCCTACATTCCTACTTATACATCTACCATTTTAAGGATGGAAAGTAAATCTTCCCTTATGCAAAATAATTTTGATATGTGGAAGGACCCGAAGGCTGGGCTGTAGTGGACAACTTGCAAGTAATGCAAGAAAGAGTGTAGTTTGGGGCGTTCACACGGATACGAGATGCCCATACAACATATGAAGTCCTGTGACAAAGGCAAAACAACTACCAACAGTAGCAGAAATTCCGATTGATATTTATTAGAAAATGTATTTCATATTGTAATTTTTTTCTCAATTCTCAAATGTAGTTCCTATTTCAAATAAATGCACTTGAACTTTGTTTTTAATAAGAATTTGTATAAACTACAATTAAAAAAAATAAACATGACCCGGCCCAGCGGGTGGCCCAACCCGTGACCCGGCCCGGCCCGACAGGTGGCCCAACCCGTGACCCGGCCCGGCCCGGCCCGGCACCGGTCATAGCACGGGCCGGTCCCGGACTCCCGGGCCTCCTTAAGAAAACCTGAGGCCCGACCAGGCCTAGACCCGGCCCGGGTCCATGACTATTCTTAATTATGTTTTTGTTCATTTATTTATTTATTTATTTGTTATACCATACGTAGTACGATAGTATTATATTTCTCCAACACGTGCCTAAAGAAACTAATTCTTTTGGAACTAATTCTGCTTTTTTAAAGCAGAATCAGAATCAGTTTTTAGAAGCTGGTCTACCCCAACTTCTAAAGAAACTGATTCTAGGAGTAAATTAGAATACCAAAAGTACTTCTGCACTTTCACCCAAACAATCTATTTTCCGCTTCTGCTCTCTCAAGGAGCAGAAACAATTTTAAGAATAGCAGAAAAAGTTTTAAGAATCAGATCCAAGCACCCCCATTATTTTGGCAAAATTTTAACTAAAAACTAAAATCTATTGAATTGTGAGAAAAAGTCAAAATTTAATAAGAGACATTACCAAAAGGATTTATAAATAGCATGCCATATAGGCGTAACTGCGCAAGGGGAAATGAGAGGCAATTTATCACCCAAAAAAACTCAAACTATCACTTCTTATAGACTGCAAAAAAGAATCAGACCACACATTTTCACCCTTACAACCAAACCAAAGGACGAGTCTAGTTACTATACCAACATACACACTAGTTTACATCTTGACAAGCCAAAAGATATCACACCAGTGATGTCAAACTATGCATTAATTTTTTTTTTATAAAAAGAATAATTACTAGAACCCCTACTAGACTTGCATAGATATTACTAGTTTACTACCATACCACTACCAAGCAGGTTAAATATTCTACTAAGGCTAAATCCTCCATGGCTTCTCATTGACATAGAGCTATTTCCGTCCTTCCTGACCGCCGCTACCTGTTGTGTTCTTCAGAATCTGCAATTTCATACGATATAATGAGTTAGTTGTAAAAGTTATCCAAAGTAAGCATAAAAAAGAATCTTTTTAACAGACCCACACATAGTATCTCTCTGTTTATTCTCGCCTATAGGTTCAGTTGACGGGTTGAGTTGGTTATCAAGGTCTAAACCTCAAAAAATCTGTTTATAGAAATAGCCAATAAGCCAAGTGTACATATTTTTCAAGTTGTGATAGTAAGCTTTAGAAACACTAAAGTACTATGGTGTGTGGAATATTAATTAAATAGAATTGCATGTAAAAAGTTTGAATTGCATTATGGCTGATATTTTTTCCAGAATTTTCAAGAATAGAAGAATGCATAATAGATCTGATTGTTCACTTATGTTTTCCGGATTCTTGGGCAGGGATGCATGCGCATCAGGATGCCGTCTATCGGCAGTTGTCCGCTGAGCAGCATGAGCGGTTCGATCAGATGCGCTTGCGAGCAGCAGGACTTCTACAGAGAGATGCGGGAGGACCAGGCACTCCACTATTCACAGCTCCAGTCTCAGTATACACGGATTGATGAGAGACTCACCTCCATGGAGACCAGCTGGAGTTCATTCTTCGATGCCTATCCACCACCACCCCCTCCTGAGTTTTAGATTTCATTAGTTTGTCCTCTGCTAGCATCTGTATCATGATATTGTTGGATGACTGTACCGTAAACACTATCACACTCACACTCTCACTCTTTTACATTAACTCTTTATTTTGTGCTTTGCTTGGTGTTCATGATTTGTTGCAGCTTAGTGGATGAATGTGTTCGTGCGAATCAAGACCCAGTTCTGTTCCTGACTGCCCAACGCGATAGGGGAGTTTCCATGATTCTTTTTAACTCGATGCGTAATGTTAACTTGAGTTAATTTTGAGCACGCGTGACCCTTTCCTCTTTACCCCTAGTACATAATGCATTTTTGGTCATCGAGGACGATGCCAAAGTTTAAGTGTGGGGGAGTGAATTGGGCATTCGGGCAGTGGTTGTCACATGTGATTTGTTAGAATTAGCATGCGCAGGTGTTAGTTGTATATTCATAGGAAATTCATGCAAAATTTTTGAAATTTTTTCTTTAAACTGTGTCTTTGTGAGCTGGCTAGCATTTTGACTATGCTTTTATGACATTCTTGAAGTGTTTAGGCTTAAATTGCTTGCACTATAATCTAGTTGTTGAGAGGATGAAGGCATTAGTCACCCATTGAATTTTCCAACAATCATCCACCCCACCTGAAAGAACCCTTTAGGAGAAGCCATTTTGAGCCTGACCGTTCTTTGTTACCCAATTAATTGAGCTCCATAGCCAAATGGCCTGTGTTCCTTACCCGTGAATATTTCTGACTTAGTCTTGATGTTTAGGGAATTAAGGGATTAATTTGCTAAGTTTAGGGAATTTTGTGTAGGAGCCATTTTTGGCACTGCTCCTATGCCCCAAATGGGGTAAGAGCAGTCACTTTTTAGGAATTTGATACTATCGAGGATTGCATTGTAGGCATGGATTCACTTTGAAATTAATGAACTTTAATTGCTATTTTTCCTTGGTGAGGCCGAGATTAGAATGGGGTAATGTCTAGTGAGAATCCGAAAGGTGAAAAATTAATATAGCTAGACCTCTTACTTTTCGAAAAAGAGAATGGGAGCCCCGGTCAAAAAGCGTAAGATGAGACTTGGGTATCTTTCGAAAGAAATGGCGTTCTCGTGCCAACATGACAAGGAAAACTGAACATAATTAATGAACATTGGAGGCTATTGAAAAAATTTAGCTTTAGTCCTCCGCGTACTTCAAGTATACGTCAAAGCACAAATGTGCCGAGACGGTTTAGCTTAGTTGTACACCATGTCTACTTTTTGCATAGGTTTAAATGATTGTTCCTAAATTGTGACCTACTGAGTTCTTTGATCCTAAGAATAACCCTGAAGTTCCTGAATGCATTGAGTCTTTGTTAGAATATCCTTATCTCTAAAAATAAAGGGACTATTATCATTAACAATTCACCATCACATTCACAAGTCCTTCTGATCAGTAGCTAGCTTATTTGTGTATGCTGTCATTACTTTGAGGATGTTGTGAATATTTATGTCAAATAATTTAGTTTGAGTACAAAGGTGTAGTTTAGGGAAGAATTTTCTTGGTTTAAATTGTCTGTCCTGTGAATATCCCTTTAACTACGTGTGTATGCTAACTACTTTAAAATTCCGTGTGGTGATTATCGTAAGTCCCGTTGTTCGATTTGCTTGAGGACAAGCAAAAGCTTAAGTGTGGGGGAGTCTGATAAGTCCGTATTTAGACACGCATTTGATGCGTGTTCGGGTCAGATTTTGATGATTTTCCTGGCTTTAAGGTGTTGCAAGTCTCAATTTTGGCTCAAGTTGTGTTTAGCAGGCATTGGATCGAGTTTGATTGCATTTGGAGGTGATTTGAAGAAGTTAGAGTCCGGCAATCGGCGCTTGAGAGATATTCGGGATGGATTTGAAGGCATTCGAGAAAGATTTGGAAGATTTGGAGGTCATCGGGAGATTCACGACGAAATTCTGATGAAGAAAGAGCATTTGGATCGACCTCGTAGGCATCCGGTAGCGTTTGGAGCAAGAAAACGAAGGAAAATTGAAGAATAAGGTCAGGCACGGTCGTGCCTGGACTTAGGCACGCCGTGCCTGAAGAAAAACGAAGCTAGGAGCTACTGGAGGCCAGGCACGGTCGTGCCTGGCAGTTAGGCACGCCGTGCCTGGACGCGAAATACGCGATTCTTCCGCAGGCACGGTCGCAGGCACGGTCGCAGGCACGGTCGTGCCTGGCACCGTGCCTGGCCGCGATTTGTCCTAATTCGACCCAAATTTGTTGATTTCTTTAAATAAGGCCTTCATACTCACTTTTCGAGTTACGAACTTTGGAGAGAGGCCTAGGGACGAGTTTTACCTGCGTTTTTACGTTGTTTAATCCAAGAACCTGGGATTCTTTGTAAGTTCAATTCTTTAATTAATGACAATTATTTCTATTCATCCCAATTCTTTTGATTCGTCAATTATGAGGCGTGAATAGTTTAATTAGGGATTTGGGGTTGATGAAGGGGTTAATCATGATTGATGGCTAGATTCTTGTCGGTTTAATTGCATGAATGCCGTTTAATTTGTGTTTGAATAATTTAATTGATATCTCTTGTAACCTAGACTGCAGCTAGAATTACAATTGCATGTAGAATAAATTAAGAGAGATCTAATTTGTTCTAGGACACATTCACACACACTTAATCGTTCGCTAAGAGATTAGTAACGATTAAGGGGCCGTAAGCTCGCTCGTCTTGGCAATAATTTAGGATCTTGTCGCATGAGAGATCAGCCTGGTCCCCTAAATTATTGTACTCTACGCCGCGAGAGCGGTAAGAACTTAGTAATGATTAGCTAGGCTCAATTAAATTAAATTCATGTAATTAGGCCTGTTCTGCCAGAAATCTGGTTAACCCCGGAATCAATTCCTGTTCCCTTCGTCGTTAATTAAGGAAAACCAAATCTTTTTATTCGTTCATTAGCATTAGTTTTATTTCAATCAATCAACCAATCTCGCACAATTGCACTTTTATTTTATTTATTTCTTTTTAATCGCTAAAGTTTAGTTAATCTTTATTTCCCTTCTGTCCGTCCCTGTGGAGACGATACTCGTACTTTACACCACTTTACTACATCCATTTTAAGTGCGAGAAAACACACATTAGTTTTTGGCGCCGTTGCCGGGGACGGTGTCGGATTTAAGGGTTAATTAATTTTAGCGACTTGTTTTTAGTTTTTCGTAGGATTTTTGTCTGCTAACCTTGCAGGTCAGATCTGTTTATGCATACACGTTCAAAGAAGGGAGAATCACTTGTCCCTCTTAATCCTGAGATTGAGAAGTTTGCTAGACAGAACCGCAAAGTTTTTCTTGAGAAGAACGCAACCATGGAACCTACATCATCTGGAATTGCTGGGACGTCTGAGGTCCAAACCACTTCTGGTAACCTTGATTTTTATGTCAATACCTCTCCCCAGTCTTCACCGCCTATTTCACCTAGAAATTACTCGGGATTTCAGAATTCCCGCACACCATTTTTTCCTCAAAATCAGGCCACGCCCCAAATCAACATGACTCCGCTTTATCAACTCTTCCAAAATACCTCTACTGCTCCCGAAACCATTTTTCAAAATCAAACATACGGGATGCAAGGTATTGGGCAAAATAATCCACTCTTTCAGCCCAGACAGAACCAACCGCCAGTCACACAAAATCCACCCCTTACTCAGCCACAAAATCAGCCCTTCCAACCCCAATTTCAACAATATAATCAGCCCCAAGTTCAGCCCCGAGCACAGGCAAACATAGCCCGTCCACATCCTATAAGACCACAACCAGTTCATCAACTAGTATCATAATGGGTCTAAATGCTAGATCCGAGAATGGGAAACTAGTATCGGGTAAGATATATGAACTTTTGAGAACTAAAGGGACGGTTCGAGCTTGTATGAGTTTCATATGGAAATCTTATATCCCTCCCAAATTCTCGTTTAATGTTTGGCTTGCCTTGCGTAACAGGTTACCTACACAGGATAACCTCAGTTACTTGCATATTGTTAACCGATGTGACCTTTGTAAGGGTGGCTTGGAAACAATGCCACACCTCTTCTTTCTTTGTCCTTACACTTGTAGGGTTTGGGAGCATATTAAAGACTGGTTGGGATTAACAAGGGAGATGTCCACACTCAATAGCTCAGTCAAATGGATTTTGAAGAATCATAAAGGATCGAAGATCAAAGGGAAAGCTGCTCGTATTGCCTTTTGTGCCACGGTCTATTACCTTTGGCACGCTAGGAATGCCAACCGATTTGACGAAGCGGATGTGAAGGAGGAGGAGACCATTGCGAAAATCAAGCATGTGGTATATAAGATACTATTCAGTATATATCCACATGACTTGGTTAAATTTTGAAGAAGGCAAATGCATGGATATTTTGG